CACACACACACACACACACACACACACACACACATAAATAAAAACAATTTTGACTCTTATTTTTGACTCTAAAATTGTGACCTAAAAAATCATAACATCATGTTTTAGAAACTTTATGTGCTCACATTTAGCTGGGAAAATTGCGATTAAATTGTTTAAAGGGATAGTTCACCCAAAAATGAAAATTCTGTCATCATTTACTCACCCTCATGTCGTTCCAAACCTGTATGACTAGAAGATATTTTGAAGATTGCTGGTAATCAAACAGTTGGTGCTTGCCATTGACTTCCATAGTAGGGAAAAAAAATACTATGGAAGTCAATGGCAACCACCAACTGTTTAATTACCAGCAATCTTCAAAATATCTTCTTTTATGTTCAACATAAGAAAGCAACTCATACAAGTTTGGAACGACATGAGGGTGAGTAAATGATGACAGAATTTTCATTTTTGGGTGAACTATCCCTTTAAGAGGCGCGTGCGAACGCGGAAGGCGCCTATGATACACCAAAAATGTTGTCTAGGTAGGCAGCTCAGAAGGTTTTGAGACGCAGCCTGTGTGTCGTTCCGGGCTGAGCGTCTGTCTCTTCTCAGTCAAGCCCTGGATATTAAACGCTAATAGTCTTCAAACACCCAATGCTTATAATCGATAAAAACTATATTTGAAGTGGAGACATTTGAGCTGTAAATGAGAGCATAACCAGCATGCTTAGATTCACAATATCCCTATAATATAAATAACCAAGAATGTTTGAATTAGCAGCCCCTGTGAATAAATTAGCTTTTTCGGCTGATTGCTTTTGTCGTCACTGATGTTGCGTTTCATAAATTTCATAAACCTTTCATGACCGGTCAGTATGCACGCTGTCAGATGACAAATTTCTTGTTTATCACTTATGTTTATACAGTATGACTAAATTAGCCATTTATTTTTCTTTTTGCGTGGCTCCATTACGACCAAACAACATTATATATATATATATATATAACGCCGTTTCTTACTTACCTTTCCGTATAACTCCATTGTTTTAACTATAAATAAAAAGAATACAATAAACGGAGCTTGATTCTCATTTAATCCTAATAAAGTATAGGTTTTTTCCGCTTTGGAGAGGTGGAGTCGGCTGTTGGGATAAATGTTGGATGCAGTGATGCTCGCAATGGACGTCAGCAGACACTCGCACTCTCCACCCATTCATCCCACATCCGCCCAGACTGCGTGTGAGTGCGGTCTGCAGACAGCAGGGGGCGGCCGTGCTGCTCTCTTCACAGACCAAAGACAACTGCATCTCATCATATATCAAAACATTCACTACATTCTACATTTGTGGATTTCATAAAATAATAAACAGATTGTGTGTACAATATATAATAAATAATATGATGAATATTACCAACAATGATAAATATTACAAATGTGAATGAACAAAAACGACTGAACAAAATGGGGGAAAAGTAAACAAAAACATTACTTATATAGGAAACTTCTGAAGAACATATTGTGAAATTCAAAAATATTAGATTTCATTTTAATAATATAATAATATCCTTTAATAATTTCCGTTATTGTAATTTAATCTTGTAAGTGTTTCGCTTGATCCTACTTTCAACAATTGTTTTGTGTGAGTATTTTGTTTTGTAGCTGGTGTGCAACTCTATGTGCTGCCGTCTTGACCAGTTGACCAGAAGAGACTGTGAAGTCTCAATGGGATTCTCCTGACTAAATAACGGATATATACACACACACACACACACACACACACACA